CAGAACTACGTTTTTAAGAAAGTGTATTCTCGTCTCCCTAATTCTTGCCTGACGACAGGTAAATCTGGCAGGTAGAAAGGTGTTCCTTCCCTGGGGGCACGAGCATCTTTAACAGCAGAGCGCTGAGCCATCCCAAGTGCCTAAGTCCTCACGTGTTGCCCTGGGGAACCCAGGGAGGCGGTGTCTTAGGAGAGGAGGTTCCTACTAGTCATGGAAAGATACCAGGGGCTTCGCATGTGGTGGGGAGCATGCCCAGACGCAGAGGGAGCGTGTGACAAACTCCACGCTGAGAATGCTGCGTGCAAATTGTAAACTGCTTGCAGAGCGTTTGGGCCATAGTTCTTTTCTCTCCTGCCTTCTCAGGTACACTGGACCAAAGAGGAGAATTACATGTTCAGGCTCTCGGCGTTCCGGGATCCGTTGCAGAAGTGGCTCCGGGACAACCCACACGCCATTTCCCCTGACCCTTTCTACCAGCACGTGCTCCGCTGGCTGGAAGAGGACTTGCCAGACTTGTCCGTCTCTCGTGAGAGAAGCCGGCTGCAGTGGGGTGTTCCTGTTCCCAGTGACTCAACACAAACTATTTATGTATGGGTAGATGCCTTGGTGAACTATCTGAGCGTGGTGGGCTACCCTGAGACACACGGTGAGTGGTGGCCTGCTGCGCACCATGTTGTGGGCAAGGACATCCTCAAGTTTCACGCCATCTACTGGCCAGCACTGCTGATGGCGGCAGGGCTGGCTCCCCCCGAGCGAATCTTTGTGCACTCCCACTGGACTGTCCGTGGACAGAAGATGTCCAAAAGCCTGGGCAACGTGATTGACCCCTTTGCTTGTATTGGACGGTACACAGTAGATGGATTTCGGTACTTCCTGCTAAGGCAGGGTGTGCCTGAGCGGGATTGTGACTATTACGATGAGAAGGTTGTTAAGCTGGTGAATTCAGAACTGGCGGATGCTCTTGGGGGGCTTCTGAATCGGTCAACAGCCCTCAGCATTAACCCCAGCAACACTTACCCTTGTTTCTCAGAGTCTTGTTTTCCAAAGATCTTGGATTACAGGGGGACGAAAGCCGTGGGTAGGGCTTCTGCTGAAGACTATGAGTTCGTGGCATCTGTGGCTTCTCTGCCTCTGCAGGTGACTAGTTATTTTGAAGGTTTCCAGATCTACAAGGCTTTAGAATGCATTGCCCTGTGCGTAAGGCAGACCAACGGTTTCTTCCAGAGACACAGGCCTTGGACACTCAACCGAAAAGACCCCGCAGAGAAGCTCTGGCTTGACACCATCATCCACATTACGCTGGAATGCCTGCGTGTCTACGGGACCCTCCTGCAGCCTGTGATCCCACACACTGCAGACAAGTTGCTTTCCAGGCTGGCTGTTGAGCCAGAAGAGAGAGGTCTCTCAAGTTTGACATTTCTGCCACGCTACAGTGGGAAGCCGTGTCCCTTTGAAGGGAGACAGCTTGGACCTGACACGGGCATCTTATTTCAGAGACTAGAGAAGTCCAGACAGCATCAGATAGAAACCAAGAAGCTCTAGTCTCTGACAAACAGCTTCTGTAAATAAAAGCCTCCGGGAACTTGTTAAAAGCATGTTCCTCCCATCTCTTCGTGGTGGTATAAAGTGGATGAGTGGGAAACCGGACTGAGCAGGGCTGTGCTGTCCTGCCTAGGTGACTGGCGTTGGCCTCTGCCTGATGTGGGAAGCAGACACACGCGGGCAGATCGGTCGCATGAGCGGGGCTAAGAGCTAGGAAAGCTTCTCGGGTAACGCCCTTGAAGGAACACCTAATTAGCTACGTTGGTAACAGAATGAACTGAAGACACAGCCTAGGGTTTGAATATTGCTGCTTTTTTTCCCTGATGTATTTTATGGGACATAAAAGGCAGCTGAGGCAAATATTTATCCCCTTAAAATAGGGAACTCTTCCTACCCAGTCTTGGGGCTCCACTAGAGAGCCCTCTTGCCTATGGCTCGTATCTTCCCTCCTGGCCCCTTTACCTTGTCTTTTCTGATGTGAGGAGCGGGTCAGGTGCTCTGCTGAGGACATTTTAAACATGAATGCGGCAGCCAATCTGCTCAGCAATCTCTTCCGGAGATGGCAACTCCCCAACTTGCTTGCTCGCTCGTTCCAGGAACCCCTCCTCAGGCTAGCATTCAGGCTGAGTCTCCAGGAGGATAAAACTACCCCTGAGGAAAGAACGGGTCTTTCCTGGGGCCTTCTCAGTGTTGTCCCTACTGACGCAGGGAGAGGACTGAGCGGCAGTTCTGCAGCTGGTGTCCTGATCTCCCCTTGACTTTGCCCCGCAGGTTTTTGGCCAGGCCAGAAGTGGCTGGGGGTAGTCAGAAATGGTTTCCTGGTAACACCTCTGGGACGTAGTCCAAGTGGATCTGTTGGGTCCGTCAGCTGAGCTTCCTTTATGGGCTAAAACCTCAGTTCAGCTGATGTCTGCGTGAGCCTTGATGGCAGGGGATCTCTTCTGTGTGACTCTGCTCTTTATACCGGAGACAGTCCAGTGAGACAGGATGGTTCACTGGTCGAACGGGTGGTCTCACTCAGCTGCATAGACCTGCAGACGTGACCAAAATTGGAAAAAGGGGATGTGTTTCAGGCCCAGACTCAACTTTATGAGGCGTTTCTACCTGCTGCGCGGGTTATTGCCCCCTCTTTGTTTCATTTCAGTGCTGCTGGAAGCGGGCAGCTGAGCACTGATGCCCTGGGGCAGTTGTGACCACTTGGGGACCTCTAGTAAATCCTTCCCAGCCTTTGGCTCCTCCAGTTCCCACCAAGTGCCTGCACTGCAGGAGTCATCTTGTATCAGCGGCCAGTTTTGGGGGGCTGTGATCCCTTTTGGAGCCGCCTGGGCTGCGTTACCAGGGGCAGCAGGAGCAGCGCGGCCCCCTCAGAGCACTGTGGGTCTCTGCAGAGACAGCAGAGGGAAGGGCAGACCGTGCTCTTCTCCCTTGCGGTTCTCCGTGACGCCCTCCCTGTGCCGCAGAACGCTGTCTGGCGCATTTCAGGTTACTCGTGAGAAGAAAGCCAGCTCCCCTCAGCCACCTCCTGCGGTGGTACTCCTCACCCGCTGCCCCTCACTCCCGCAGACCTCCGTGCCCTCACGCCACGAGTGCTGGCTCCCGGCAGAGGCGCCTGCTGCCCTGCTCCGCCCGCAAAGGATGGGGTTCCCGTTCCCCCTCATCTCCGATGCTGACAGCAGCCGGTGGGAGCGCCATCACGGCCCTAGGAAGCTAGGGAGAAGGGCCGGAGGCT